TGATTTGATCTTTACAAATTTTATGAATATATTAAATTATCACATGTACTCTAAAACTACGTACATCTTTTATGCATCAACTAAAAAAAAGTGCTGATGCATAAAACCCAATGAATCAAAGCTGGGTCAGTTAGGAAAGGGTGATGAGCTGGAAGAAATTGGGCAATATCTGAAATAAAATAAAAGTCTTAAAAATTATAAACATGAAAATATAAAGTCAACCCTAGGATGACTTACAAACAGCAATGCATACCTTGGTGATAGTATCCTAAATAAGGGTGCCACAAAGCACTACACTGCACTCAGTATTTGACCCAAGGTCGAACGCTGGAAGTAGAAACTACCAGATACTGCAACAAGGACTGTTTGGGCTGGACGTCACTTGCCCCTTTCAAATAGAGCCAGAGGAAAGAGGACGTAAACTGGGACCTGGGCAACACCCAGTCTTGCCCAGCAATGGAGGCTCAGCTGAGTGTCTGCCAGGGACAGGAGCTGCTGGGCAGCTGGCTCACATCGCCTTGTGTCAGCAGATTACTGTGGTAAACAGCGCCTTGGCTGATTCTGCTCTAGGTCAAATAAATGGCTTTTTATTTAACTAATGAGGCGGGGAGTGTGTTTTTGGGTGCTGTAACAGAAGCAAAATGGCATTTGTACAGCTTGATTGCCCAAAGTCTATTGCCTGTTTATTGACAGTCTTAAGAACTTTAAATCTATGGATCCAAACTTGGGAGGACAGAACCTGGGCAGGCCCGCTTATCTATGAAAAGAACTGCTTTTTAAAAAACACTGTGTTGTGTCCTTTCTCTTTTGGAAGAACTTTTTAGGCCTTCCAAATTGAGCCAGGGAAATATGGGTAAGGGCAAATAGCTGCTATTTAATTTGGGTTAAGGCACATACCACCTGTCTGGTGGGTTACATTCCTCTCTATGTATTTATAAAGGGGAGTTTTTCCCCAGGAGAGAGAGAGAATGTGTATGTTGGGGGGAGATGTCTCTGTCCTCTTTCCACGTCAGTTCCCATTAGTCATTTCTCAACCCAGAGAAGGCTTTTTTTCCAAGCATGGTGACGTTGGCAAGTTTCTTCCCTTCCTGGCTCTGTGTCTCTATTTTGTTTCACAGTAGTTTCTAAAAAATTAGGATTTTCTTTTTCTAATTTGACTTTTAGGTTCTAAACTTTAGGCACTCCATAGGACAATGCAGGGGAAACATGCTCGCTATTTCAGGCAAACGCTCTTCCTTATTTGAAGGCAGCCATGCACCCCTTCCGTGTTTTTTCCTCTCTGTACCCGCTGCCTTCGTTCCTCAGTTGGCAAAGAGTAAAGAGCAGGATTTCTCAAGAAATGATCTGCAGACAGTTTGTGTCAGAATCACCTAGAGGTTTTGTTAAAACGCCCCACTCCTGACTTACTAAATCGGAATCTTCAAGAGTAGGAGCAAGAACGTGCATGCTTAATAAGCACTCCTGGCTATGCTTACGCACCTTTGATGACCTGTGTGTGTTGAGGGGTTAGTGGTGGGGACTATTAGCTCTTTACGTTTCTGTATTGTTTGTCTAGTTTTAGAATGAGTGAGAGCCTCTTTCATAATTTAAAGAAATTTTTAAAAGTGTTGTCCAAAGAAAATACATGGGTGAGAAATAAGCACTTAAAAAAATACACAAGATCATTAGTCATTAGGAAAATGCACGTTAAACCTACAATCAGATATTGAATGAATCACTGAGTAATAAAACAAATAGAATAAACAAAATAATTATCAGGGGGGAGGGAGTGCTCCTTTAGAAGGGTGATGGAAGTCAGGGAAGACTTGTCTGGGTTTTGAGCAGAGAAGTAAGGTGACAACTTTCATGGTTTTAAAAGAGCCCTCCACTCTGGTGCTGTGCACCCAGGCAGGAGGCTGTCGCACTAGTCCAAGAGAAAGGTGGTGGAGATTTAGACTCAGGTGATCCTAGAAATGGAAAGCACCAGAAGAATGAATGGATATCCTTAATAAAAAGGGCAGAGCCCAGAGGTTGACACTCTTTTTTTTTT